GGTTGAGGGTGTTGTGGCATGTTGAAAGGTTTGTAGTGTTTTTGTGGCATTTATAATGGTTTAGGGTGTTTGGCATGTTGTAATGGTTGTAGGGGTTGTGGATGTTATAATGGTTGTATTGTTTTTGTGGCATGTTATAAGGGTTTTTGTAGGTGTTGTGGATGTTTATGGTTTTTTTTTTTTAGTGTGTTGAGATGTTGTAATTTGTAGGGTTTGTGGCTGTTAAAATGATTGTATTTTGGGTTGAGCATGTTGTAAGGGTTGTGGGTGTTGTGGCATGTTGTAATGGTTGTAGAGGTTGGGGGCATTTTGTAAGGTTGTAGGGTGTTGTGGCATGTTGTAAGGGTTTGTGGGGTGTTGTGATTTGTTGTTTGTAGGGTGTTGTCTGTTGAAATGGTTGTGGGTGTTGGGCATGTTGTAATGGTTGTATTTTTGGGGCATGTTGAAATGGTTGTGGGGTGTTGTGGATGTTGTAAGGTTGTGGGGTTTTTTGGGAAATGTTTAAGGGTTGTGTGTTTTTGTGGATGTAATGGTTGTAGGGTTTTTGGGCTGTTGTATGGTTTAGGGTGTTGTGGATGTTGTAATGGTTTAAGTAGGGTGTTGTGGCATGTTGTAATGGTTGTAGGGTGTTGTGGCATGTTGTAATGGTTGTAGTGTGTTGTAGCATGTTGTAATGGTTGTAGGGTGTTGTGGCATGTTGTAGTGTGTTGTAGATGTTGTAATGTTGTAGGTGTTGTGGAAATGTTGTAGTTTGTTGTGTTTTTTTAATGGTTTGGGGTTTGGACATGTTTAATGGTTGTAGAGTGTTGGGGGCATGTTGTAATGGTTGTATGTTGGGGCATGTTGTAATGTTGTAGTGGTTGTAGCTGTTGTAAGATTGTAGTGTGTTGTGCATGTATGATTGTAGTGTGTTGTAGTGTTGTAATGTTTGTAGTGGTTGTGCTTTGTAATGATTGTAGTGTGTTGTAGCTTTTGTAATGATTGTGTGTGTTGTAGCATTTTTGTAAGATTGTGTGTTTTTTAATTTGTAATGATTGTAGGTGTTTTAGCTGTTGTAATGATTGTGTGTTTTGTAGCAGTTGTAATGATTGTAGTGTGTTGGGGTGTTGTAATGGTTTTAGTGGTAGTAGCATGTTGTAATTTTTGTGGGGCATTGTGGATGTTGTAAAGTGTAGGGTGTAGGGCATGTTGTAATGGTTGTAGGGTGTTGTGGATGAAATTGGTTGTAGGGTGTTGGGATGTTAATGGTTGTGGGTGTTGTAAGGGTTGTAGGGTGTTGTGGTGAATGTTTGTAGGTGTAGTGGATGTTGAAATGGTTGTGGGTGTTTGGCGTTGAAATGTGTATGGTTTGAAAATGGTTGTGGGGTGTTGTGGCATGTTGTAAGGGTTTGGGGTGTTCTGGCATGTTGTGATGATTGTAGTGTGTAGTGGATGTTGTAATTTTGAGGGTGTTGTGGCATGTTGGGGGTTTGTAGGTGTTGTGCCAGTTGTAAGTTGTAGTGTGTGTGGCATGTTGAAAAGGGTTGAAGTGTGTTGTGCCATGTTGTAATGGTTGTAGGGTGTTGGGGCAGTTGAAAGGGTTTTGAAGTGTGTTGTCCATTTTGAAATGGTTGTGGGGTGTTGGGCATGTTGTAATGGTTGTAGTGTGTTGTGCATGTTGTAATGGTTGAGGGTGTTGGGGCATTTTTGTAATGGTTGGGGGTGTTGTGGCATGTTGTAATGATTGTAGGGGTTGTGGCATGTTGTATGGTTTGTGGGGGTTTTGTGGGCATGTTGAAATGGTTAAAGTGTGTTGTGCATGTTGTAATGGTTGTGGGTGTTGGGCTGTTGAAATGGTTGTAGGGTGTTGTGGCATGTTGTAAGGTTGAGGTGTTGTGTGCCTGTTGTAAGGTTGTAGGGTGTTGTGGCATGTTGAAATGGTTAAAGTGTGTTGTGCCATTTGTAATGGTTGTGTGTGTTGTGGCATTTTGTAATGGTTGTGGGTGTTGTGGCATTTTGTAAGGGTTTTGTAGGGTGTGTGGCTTTTGAAAATGGTTTGGGGTGTTTGGCATGTTGTAAGGTGGTAGGGGGTTGTGCCATTTTGAATGGTTGTGGGTGTTGTGGCATGTTGCAGAGTGTTGTGGCATTTTAAAAAGTTGTAGGGTTTTGGGGCATTTTTGCAAGGGTTTTGTAGGGTGTTGTGGCTGTTGAATGGTTGTAGGGTGTTGGGCTGTTGTAATAAATTGTAGGGGTTGGGGGCATGTGAAAGGGGTTGGGAAAAGGTTTTTGTGGAAATTTTGTAAGGGTTTGGGTATGGTGTTGTGGCATGTTGTAATGATTGTGGGGTTTTTGCGCATGTTGTAAATGATTGTGGGTGTTGTGGAATGTTGTAAGTTTGTAGGGTGTTGCGCTGTTGTAATGTTGTAGGTGTTGTGGCATTTTGAAAATGGTTGTGGGTGTTCGCATGTTTAATGTTGTAGGGTGTTGTGGATGTTTTAATGATTGTGGGTGTTGCAGCATGTTTAATGATTGTAGGGTGTTGTGGATGTAATGTTTGTAGGTTTTGTGGATGTTTAATGATTGTAGGGTTTTGCGCTGTTGTAATGATTGTATGGTGTTGTGGCATGTTGAAATGATTGTGGGGTGTTGGGCATGTTGTAATGATTTTTTGGTGTTGTGGCATGTTGAATGATTGTAGGGGTTGTGGATGTTGTATGATAGTGGGGTGTTGTGGCGTTGAAATGATTGTAGGGTGTTGGGGCATTTTGTAATGATTGTGGGTGTTGTGGCTGTTGTAGTGTTTGTGGGTGTTGTGGCATGTTGTAGTGAGTAGGGTTTTGGCATGTAAAGGGATTTCTGATTGTTTTCATAGATTACAAAAGTTAATTTTCAAAAATTTTTGTTTTTTTTATTAGTTTGTAACCCCCAGGGGTTGTTGAATTAGTAATGACTCTGACTTTGGGAAATCTCAAAGAAACTAAATTATTGAAATTTAACCTCCTGGATTATTTAATACTTTTAGAAATAAAAATTTCCTTATCAGTGGACCCTTGACTAAGTCTGCATCGGCTAAACTCCAAAAATAGCTAAAGGCTCTCTTTGGGGCAAAATATTGGCTCGGCAACGCCAAAAAAACTCGGCTAAGGGTTTCGTCCCCAACGATCCACGGGCCTGAGTGGGGCCCGGCCACTTGAAAACTCTGTGTATAGCCCGTGTGCCCTTGTTTCAAGCCTTTTGGTCATTTTCCCCGCATACTGAGATACATTTTTATTATTTCCCTTGTTTTTTGTGCGTAACTCTAAATAAGCTACCAAACGCCCCAAGAAAGCTTCTAGTGCCCGCCCTTTGGTAAAAGGATGTGAGAAAAACGTAGATCTGAGAAAAAAATTTTAGAAAAAAAAAAGAAAGTGGTGGTAGTGTTGGTGGTAAAGATGGTGTGTTGTGTGGTGGTAGAGGGGGGTATTTTTGGGATAGGGGGTGGTGATGAGGTAGGGGTGGGGTGGAGTGATGGTGGTGAGGGTGGAGTGGATGTGAGGTGGTAGGGTGGTAGTGATGGTGGTAGAGGGTAGTAGTGATGGGGTTTTAGGGGGGTAGTGGGATGTGATGGGGGTAGAGGGGGTTGGGGTTTAGGGGGTAGAGGTGGTAGTGATGGTGGGAGGGTTTGGGAGTGATGGTGGTAGGGGGTGGGGTGGGTGTGATGGTGGTAGGGGGGTAGTGGTGTGATGGTGGTGAGGGTGGATTGATGGTGGTAGAGGGTGGTATGATGGTGGTAGAGGGTGGAAATGATGGGGTAGAGGTGGTGTGGATGTGATGGGGGTAGAGGGGGTGGGTGTGATGGGGGTAGAGGGTGGTAGTGATGGGGGTGAGGGGGTAGGGATGTGATGGGGGTAGGGGTGGTAGTAAAATTTATGGTGGTAGGGGTGGTATGATAGGGTATAAGGTGGTGGTGATGTGGTAGAGGGTGGGAGTGATGTGGATGGGTGGGGGTGATTTATGGTAGAGGGTGGTAGTGGAGTGTGGTGGTAGAGGGTGGTATGGATGTGAAGTGGTAGGGGTGGATGGGTGTGATGGTGGTAGAGGATGGTATGGATGTGGTGGTAAGGGTGGTAGGGGTTTTGATGGGGGTAAGGGGGTCCAGTGACTCTCAAGCTGGGGCTGTGGCATTAAAAAACCCAAAAAGGGAGGTAACCAAAGAAAAGGGCTTGTTCCGAAGTCTTCATGGAGGGGGTTCCCCTTCCCCAAAATTGAAACCCTCCTCCCCTGCCCTCCTCCCCTCTCATTACTCACTTAAATCCTCAGCAAGATAATGTCTTTAAAAAATTGTTTTTGTGCATGTATCATTGTTTTCTGTATAGGGGAAAAGTATTTTGCAGTTAAAGAAATTTTTTTGTTTAATCTTTTGGGGGTCGGAAAAGGATTAATTGGTTTCTTATTTCTTATGGGGAAAATTAATTCGGCTCAAGGCAAAAAATTTGGCTAAAGGTAGTTTTGGAAAAGGATTAAAGGGTTTGGAGGGGGCCACTGTATCTTGAACATAAATCTAGCTTTAAAAATCAAAAAAGAAAAACATCAGTTTTGTTCATTATTAGCCAAAATTTGGGGTTTTTGGTTACACTACAAAATTTTTGATCATCACTTCCACACTGGATATTCTTTATATTTTTTTTCTCCTAGATCTCTCTGAAGTGAAAATATAGTTAAAAAATAGGACGACAGTGGTGAAAAAGATTCCTTACGAATGGGCTTCTGAAGAAGCCGGTTGGGGCTGCACCTAATTTTACCCGGAGGTTTCTTAGTCTTTTTTTCTTGTTGCACCAATTTATTACCTGAGAGGTATTTAGTCTTTTATCTTGTTGCACCTAATTATTCCCAGAGGGGATCTTTTGTCTTATTTCTTGTTGCCCAAGTTCATTTTCCCGAGAGGGACTTAGTCTTATTATCTTGTTGCCCAAGTTCTTTTTCTGGGGTCTCTTAGTCCCTTTTTTTTGTTGCCCAAATTCATTACCTGAGAGGTATCTTAGTCTTATTATCTTGTTGCACCAAGTTCATTACCTGAGAGGTATCTTAGTCTTATTATCTTGTTTCACCAAGTTCATTACCCGAGAGGTTCTTATCTTTTTCTTTTTTGCACCAAGTTTTATTTCTGGAGGTTCTTAGTCTTATTTTTTGTTGCCCCAAGTTCATTACTTGAGAGGTATTTGTCTTATTATCTTGTTGCACCAAGTTATTACCTTGAGGTACTTTGTCTTATTATCTTGTTGCACCAAATTCTTTCTTGGAGGTATCTTTGTCTTTTATCTGTTGCACCAAGTTCATTATGAGAGTCTCTTGTTTAATCTTTTGCACCAAATTCTTATAAAAGGTATCTTAGTCGTTTTTCTTGTTGACCCGTTATTTCCTAAGGTTTTCTTTGTCTTATTGTGCCAAGTTCATTTTTGAGAGGATCTTGTCTTTTTATCTTTTTGCACCCAAATTCATTACCTAAGAGGTATTTTGTCTTTTTGTGCCAAGTTTATTACTTGAGAGGTATCTTTAATCTTTTTTTTTCAGGGGCTTATAGAAAGTGGCAATGTTTGGGTAATGGTTTTTAACCTTTTTTTTTTTGTGATGACTGCTTCCAAAAGTACTTAGTCATAATAATATAAAAATAAAAAAAAAAACAAATGCTAAAACACACAACCTGCTTATAAGCGGGCCCGGAATTAACCTGCTGTAAAGTGGGCCCCGGAAAATAAACCTGTGATAAGCGGGACCCGGAAATTAACCCGCTGTAAAAGTGGACCCGGAACTTAACCTTGTATAAGCGGGACCGCCTGTCCAAGATTTTGGTTTGAGATTTTGCAACTGATTTGCATGTGGTACTTATCTTGCTTTCCTTGGGAACGATTTCGAGTATAGAAAATCTTTCGTTGCCTTCTTAAATTTTCCCCTTATCAAAAAGTGCCGGGGAAGCCCTAAATCTTTGTGGCATGAATTATATAAACTTGGTTGAGGAGAGCTACAAAATTTTGTCATAATTGTCAATTAAAAGTGGGTGGCTAAAGGGCTGGAGTCTAGGGTCTTTGCCCTCTGGAATGGCATCTCCCTGGGACATCTCAATTGATCACTTTGAGCCCCCTGTACCCATAACCTCGGCCTAGTCAGCCCCCCCACCCGTCACTAGTCCAATCCCAACCCCCCATTTTTTTTTCCCCTCATCATCCCCAGCACCCTGACCTGTCAGAGCCTGGGTCAACATACGGGAAAGCCATAAAAGGGCCCTATGGCTTGAGTTACTAAAAAAAGGAGTACAAATACAAACTTAGCTTAAATCACAGCATCTTTTTTTTGTGATATGTGTTCGGAAAACCCGTTTTTTTGTAGAAGGCATGGAATACAGGTGCTTGGGAACCCAAAACCCTACAGAAAAAATCCTGCATTGTATATTAATGAACTTAAACCCTTTATCGACAAGAGGACACATAGGAAATATGGATAGAATAATACCACCAAAAGCACTTGCACGTCTCTGCTGTTTTGTCAGGAATGGATCCCCAGCTCGCAGTGCTTCAGAATTACAGTCATCACAAAAAGGTACGTCCCCCCGGGTTTTACGATATTATTTCTTTTTCCGAAGTATGTTCAGGTGTCAGTACTAAACGAATTTGTTCCCAAAAGGAATATTGTAAATTAGATTAGCCTTTTTCAGCCCCCCAAACATAACATAAAAACCATTACATAAATCCCCTTAATAATTGGTCGCATTGGGAGGGAATCGTAAAAGCGGGGGCCACTGTATTTGTTATTTTTTTTCCCGGGGTCAAGAATTCATCAAAAACAACAGCTTTTTTTTAAATGGGATACTTAGAATGGGGGCCTACGACTAACTCCCTTTTTGCGGGAGGCAGACAATAGTAGTGCAGTACTCGCTTTTTCCCATTCCCATTTTAAAGGGCCGAAGTATTTCTTCTTTCCTTTCGCACGCAATCAAAATTTTGATGCATGCCCTGGGATATCATGCTTATTTCAGAGTTGCTGGCCCGGACTTGAGAATCCCAGCGGGGAAAAACAGTTCTCCCAGGATCCACTAGTTAACCATCAGACAGCATTCCTGGGTTGATGACCAAGTCAGCCCTGGACAGGCACTTCGATTGCAGGTCTGCTCCTCCTTGGTCGGGAAATGGAGAATGGGACTAAACGCATCTCAACTTTGAGTTTTTGTAGACCCCAATGGAAAGGGAGTTGTCAAGTGACAAAAGCAATATGCCTAACAGAACATCAGAAATACTTCGTTTCCCAGGAACTAAATAATTTTGGGTTACGTATTTTAAAGGGAAAAAACCATCAGTGTCTTTCTAGAGATTCAAAGATAGACAAAAAAGCAAGTAATTAGTTAAATCTTGATAGATATTGTTAGAAAAAGTTTGGGAAATAACCGGCCCCAGACAATGGCTAAGACTTTGACTGACTGAGTGTCTCTTTTGGCTTTGGTAAAACATGACTAAGATAGGCTATTGGCTGTTTTTACCTTTTGGACTTGTCAACATACAGCCCCAATGCCATCTTTGGGGTATTGGTATCGTGAAGTCAGGAAAATGGGAACAGGAGTACACTTCCCTATTCTTTAGCTTTTTGAGAAGTAAAGTCTTGGTGTAGAGAAAGGGCAGTGAAAATGGGGTAAAACCTGCTGGCTAGAAAGAAAAAATTATTTTCCATCATTGTTTTGGGAATTTGAAGGGCAAAGGTTTGGACTCATCTATTTTATGCCTCCGGGGTCACTACATTGACAAAAACCCCTTTCTCTCCTTAGAAAATTGACATTTGGAGGCCAAACTTAAAGTTGCCAGCTAATTTAAACCCCTTTCCCCCACTAAAAATTTTGAGATGGGAGAGTATTCCAGCACCCAAAAAAAGGCCATCTTTGTAAACCACAAGGGCATTTACTAGGGGGTAAAAAATTGCATCATCAAACCTGAATGTTTTTGGGCTGTTCCTTTCCCCAAAATGGCACCTTTTGAATGATAGTGACTAGTTAGAAAAGAGAGTCCCCCAAAAATTTTTTTACTCTGGTCATCAAGGGGAAATTCCAAAAGCTTTGTAGAAGGTCGATGCCAATTTTTTTTTTTAACAAAGTTCTGCAAAAGCATTTAAACTTTCATTGGGGAAAAGGTCAGGGACGTACTGGGTTTAGTTTTCCCGTAGTCCCATTAAGGGTGCGATTCCCCCTTAGCAACCAGGAATAAGTAAATGTTCCCTGGAGTCTTTGATAACTCCATTTTTGGAGCTTGGCAAGGTTTTTCGTGAAAACCGAATGTGGTAACTTTAAGCGGTATGTAATAAATTTAGTACCTTTTTTTAGAGGGTACATGGAAATAAGTGGGGTGTTTTTAGTTTATGTCAGTGCAACCACAGAGTGGGTTTGGGAAGAGCTTTAAAAGTGTGGGACTTTACAGGGTAGTCTTCACAGCTGGGGCACCCCAAAACAGGAAGGTGCTGAAAGTTTGCGTAAAGATTTTCCCGGAAACCTACACCCACAAGGGTCTGCAGGAACTTTCCCTTTTATTCTCACAAGTAGAGGAAATATAATGAGGTCCAGTTGGTGTTTCTTCCCCATTTAAATCCTACCATGAACATTGTGGGACTACACGTACAGTTACCATGTCGTACTTTTGTGGCAAGAAATTTGGGTTTCCGAGATGATCTTTGATTTGATGTTTAATGTTAACTATCATGCGTCTCTGTCAAAAAAAAACAGTTCACAAAACTATAAATGGGGTAAAACAATTACTTTGTACAGGCAGTAAATTTGTTACGAAGCCCTGTCATGAGTCAGTAGTCCCCCGCCCTGGGTGGTTACTATTTTTATGATGACCCAAACCACAGTCAGAACAGAGGTTTGATGGGTCCTCAGACTGGTTTTTACTCATGCCTGTTGGGCAGGAGGGGAAGCAAAAAATTACTCTTGCTGTACAGAAACCCTTTGTTTCAAAGGGTTTTCCCGGCATTTAACATACTCGGAAATGAGTCAAAAGGGGGAACCCCTATGCTTTTCCCCAAAATGGAACAGTATTCAGGGGCCGCCTCATAATCTTTTTATCATCAGGACCCGGAGGGGTGGATTAGTGACTTTTCAGACCGAGGGTTAGGTTAGAAAACCTTAACCCAATGGGGGTATTTTTGGGTTTTGAATACCTTAAACCCCAAAGGCGATATTTTACCATCGGGGATTTCGCCCAATTTTAAACCCCGGTTTTGGCCCCTTTCCCTTTTCCCGTCTACTAAACTCATAGAAAATTTTTGTATACAGTGGACCCCGGGTTTCAAAATTTTTTTTTTCCAAAGTATGTTCGGGCATTGACCGAATTTGTTCCCATAAGGAAAATTGTGAAGTAGATTAGTCCATTTCACACCCCCAAACTACACATACAAAGCACTTACATAAATACATTACATAAATTTTGGTGCATTGGGGGGGTGATCGTTTTAAAGGGGGTCCACTGTATTCCTTCTGTAGCGCTGTTTTAAAATTTAGAAAAGTTTATACAAGTTTTTACTGAACCCATGCTTCAGTGCAATTTGGGGAAGATCTGTTTTTTTCTGGTTTGTTATGAGGATGGCTACTGGTTTTTTATGTGTTAAAATGCATCGACTACACGAGTCTTTTTGGACCTCTTGGAAAAAAGTCACTTTGACTTTTTTGGGTTATCCAGGTTCTTTTCACATACCTGTTGTTGATAATTACTAATTTTTTTTGTGATACCTGAAAAACTTACTTTGTTTTGTCGAGTGGACAAGAAACCGCCCCTTCACTATTTAGCTACCAAAAAGTGGGCAAAATGCAGTTTGGCCAATTTCACACAGATTTCAAAAAAGCCAATTTTAAAAGGATCCAGAAAACAATGAAAATTCCTGGCACAAAAAAAAATTTTTCTGTTATAGTCACATCCCAGGCCCCTTTATTTACTCTTACTTTCCCCCTTTTTTTTAATTTTTATTCACACAAAAAACAGAAAATTTATTGTTATGCAGACTGTTGCAACCCCTGAAAGGGTTACAATGATGTTTTGGTAATATATGTAA